TTTATGGCCCTCACACTTGAGGCATTCTGACATAATGTCATCTATCTCCTGACCTGTCAATGTTTGGAGTGCATTCTGGTGGTAATTCCCCATTCTTACGATCCAGCACATTCTTGTACCTTTAGAGAAATAACAGAAACAAGTCCAGTGACAAATAAAATCAGTCTACATACAAGTCAGAAAAGGAGTGTAACTGCTGTCAATTCAGTGTCAATACCGTATGAGAAATCCTACAAACAAGCAATGTGTCCTAGTCCATAACCTTGAAAATTGCAGCTACAATATCCATAATGATTCTGTAATGTTCTATTCATTTGATGTGAGTCTAGTTAAATGATTTTTATCCAAAAAATAAAGGTGAAAATAACAAGCAATAAGTGTCTTGCCTTAGAAGACATTGACACAGCCAGTGCTCAACCCATACCTCTAGATCTTGAGTCTAGAGGCATTCCGGGCCCCATCCCTAACTATACACCTTGTACGACTCACGTATTTTGCCTTAAAACACAACAAAATGGCCCTTGCTAGGGTTTGAAACCCAAGAAGACAAAGAAATGTACATCTATACCAAAACATGATGTTTACCTTCGGTAAACTTCTGCACCAGTTAAACCTTTATCAGGAAACAGAGATGCTATGGCATCAAACAGTTCATCATGCGTCTCCCCTGTTTCTCCTGGTGGTTTTTCGTCATCTTTTGGTAAGCAATCAGCCTCTACCAAGTTATAAGAAAATAACAAAAATTCTTTACAAATCAATAACTACCATAACACAATACAGTAGTAAAATGCACTTTGCACGAGGTTGGCAGTTCTCAACAGGAACTTTTGACTGACCAGGAATCAGTTCTTCAGATGCTATTTAACTGTTCTTTAGATTTGAATAGAAGGTGGTTAAGCTATAGAACAGGTTCTATTTGACAAACATAATTCAATCACTGCATGAGTGATCTCCTTCCTTAAAAGAAAACATGGGTACTTGGCAAGAGAGGGCACAATCTTATATTACCAGCTGTAAAAAGAGAGCATTTAAAACAATGTTTTATAAAAAGGTGTCCATTATTTTATATTAGGAGCCCTGCATTGTTTTGTATTTGTAAATTTAAATGTTTGCTTGTATCTGTTTAAATAAAGATTCACTCATTTTAATTTGTTTTTAATGCATGCAGCCAGAATTGAAAAGTACTCTGGTGGTTTTTTTTTTTTTTTTTTGTGATGGAATTAGATACCATATAAAGCTTAACAGTTAAGTTGCCTCAAACACAAGTCTCTTTACTGCTCTCTACACATGTATACTTCCTAAGGTGCTGACAAGGAGAGAGTGTTTAACAATCAAGAGCTTATTTAGTTCTTGATCATTTCCTTTTTTCTCCTGACCTTAATGTGTGATTCAGGGGTGATATTGTCAGGAGAAATTAGATAGTGGCCGTTCTTAAGATTAAAATATTGTGTTGGATTTACATAGCCTGCAGTGCCGGCGTATTTTGGGCGCACGAGCGCACATTTTCGTATTAGGCCGCCATCTTAGGTTTGGTAACTGTGGAGGATTGGGGCGAGGAAATATTTGCCAAGGGAGTAGGTGTTAAGTGGAAGAATGGGCAACGGGGGAGAGGGAGGGGAAGGAAAAAATATTCCTTCCCCTCCCTCTCCCAAGTGGCCTTTTTTTCCACTTAACACCTACTCCCTCAGCAAATATTTCCTCGCCTCAATCCTCCAGTTACCAAATCTAAGATGGCAGCCTAATACGGAAATGTGTACTCGTGCGCCCAAAATACGCGGGCACTGCAGGCTAGGATTTACAATGAGTCATTAACACTCTTTTGTGAATTGAGAGTAACAGTCACACATACCTTCAGTGGTTTCTTTCTCCTCATCTGTTTTTGTTTCACTTTCTGTGTTCTCCTGAGCAGACTTCTTGTGTTTTTTCAATGCGTCAACCAGCTGCAGAAGTAGATCATCTGTGAGGGCTGCTTCATCAAACACTGGACAAAATGGAAAGGAAGCAATTTTGTGAATGAAATTTAGTACTTGCTAGCTGGGCCAATTGCAAAGTTAGACAGTTAACCCTTTACAGTATAACTCCCATGAGTGACCATGAAAACTTTTTTCCTTACAATATCGATGCATCAGTATCGCTCTATCCATTGAGCTAACTGCCTCCTGGTTAGCTTAATGGATAGAGCACTGGACTGTTGTGCGGGAGGTTGACGGTTCGAGCCCAGTGGCCGGACCAACACTCAAAGGTCTTAAAATAATTGAGAAGAATATGCTACCTTTCTATAACATCAAGAAATGGTTAGATATTCTAGTCTTCTCAGATAGGGATGAATAAATGGAGGTCCATCTCCTACAGGGTTAGGGGTAGGAGACGTTAATTTTCCACGCACGAGATTACTGTGTGACAGATGTCCTCTGGAGAGATGGGAGGGATTTATTGGGTGGACTACTCGCATGGTTCGCATATGTTCCATTCTTGTCCTACCCTACTGCGGTAATGCAGTGAAAATGGTTAGAAGCAAGCAAGAGAATAAAAAATATCAGATTATCAGTTGATCCAATGCCAAATTCTCCAAACTAACATCATAAGAATTGTATGGCAGACAGTAAGGAGATTTACTAATGAGATTTTGGGATCAAGAGGGTTAAAAACAAGTATAAAATCTAAGTAGAAGTGTGTTTTACCATGTTCTGGAGTGTTGTGAACTCTCCCCTCATAGTTTTTGATGAGCTCTTCGATAAAAGATCCATCCTGGTCCAAAACTTCTTCTCCCATGTAAGGAATATTGTGCAGGACTGTTTCATCTTCCACCTGGTTATAAGAAAATACCATTCAGTGTGTGATACTATTGGTCAATTAGCTGGCTACATTCCACTGTATGGCTTGCTTAAACTTTTCACTCCCTAACATCTGTCTGGATAATTTTTCCTCCATACTGTTCTCTACACAATTTCTAAGATGCTGACAAGGAGAATCTACTTCTTAATCAAGAGTTTCTGTAGTTGGCAATCATTTTCATTATTCTCCTGACCTTAATATATGATTCAGGGATGATATTGTAAAGAGAAATTAGATGCTAGTCACTTTTAGGGTTAAAGGGCTGTTAAGTTTGGTCCAACTGTTCTTCCCCCTCTATTTGAACCCAGAGATATAATACAGGTAAACATCTTACTTACCTCATTTTCTTGGTCCATAAAGTAAGTTATGGAATCTTGTTTTTTCCATTAAGATTTATGGCCCTCACACTTGAGGCATAAATGGGAGTGGATAAAATTTGATCCATAACTTATGGCACAGACCTTGAACTCAGAAATCTTTTTCACCTACCATATAGTTTTGCTGCAGAGGAGACCATGTAAAGAACTGCGGAAGAGACTGCACGGTATATAGGGTCCTTAAAACTGTGTGTTGAGTACCATGTCCAAAACCACTATAGACAGAACTCTGGTTAAAGAAAGAAAACACCAGAGCATATTAACTTAATTCCACTCTTCTGATACACAAAATTTGAAGTGAAGTTACTCTCCCATTAGTGACAATGACAGAATTTGTCATTACAATTTCAGTTGGAAAAGAGATTGGAACAAACATAAGTTATTAAC